CAAACTGTAGAGCATATAAGTTTATACATTATATATATGTATGTATAAAATAAGTACTGCACATTATAGACAGAATTCCTCTCTGATAAATTGATATTTGCTGGCCACTAACAAAAAGGTTTTCTAATGCAGATGCCATTAGGCACCTGTCCTTTAATGATTTGGTAAAATGTGTTCTCTTGAATTCCAGTACCTTCCACTTCTCTGTGCTTCTCTGTACTCTCCTCTCTTCTTGAGCGATGGCTTTGATTTCACCCCATGTCAGCCATAGTACAGAGCTCCTCATCTGTTTCATTTACAATTCATTCTCTTTAGACACTGATGAGTTTCAACTCTGTCAAAGACATGGAGGGCACAGGAACCAGTCAATTTCCCACCATGTCAGAGACAGCTCTTCTGTTCTCTCTTGTCTCTCCCCACCTGCTTACCTTATCACCCTGTCTAGTGCTAGACTGTTGCACCCAAATGAAACTCCCTATGGAGGGGTCTTACCCTCTGTCCAGAGAGATTCTTTTTACAAACAGATACAGTTTTCTTCTTAAGAGTAATTCCGCTTAAGGATTATGTAAATTTCTCCCTCGCATTTCCTATGATTTGAGCTCTTCTTATAGAGTTATGATAAGTGATGGTTGCCTGCCTCTTTTATAAAATAAGGGGACTTTGGAGGTTTATCTTTTAATAGCTCTCAGGGATTTCCAGAAACTGTTGGAAGAATCGGGTGCTGATGGGGCCGGGCCCAGCTGTGGGGAGCAGTAATGCTCAGATTCTAGAAGGGCTGATTACTGCCTGCAGTCAAGTTATTCAGCAGATACGTTCTGGGTGCTGTCCCTGCCTTCCTAGAATTTAAAGAGAACTCCTCTGAGCCATCTGTGCTTACAGATTTGGCACATTTGGGTCCTCTGGATTCTTTGGCATATGCTTCTCATAGAGGATGCAATGTATTGACAATTTTCGGGGCTGGGTACCTCATGCTTCCACAGGGAACCTCAATGTTGTCTGAGACTAGACTGGAAAGAGGAAAGGGATGGAGCCCAAGACTCACTCATGTGCCCCATTCTGACAACATTCATGCAAATGCATCAAACAGTACTCAGAATTCAATCATGGACTTGAATACAGTCATATTGACAATGAAGAATAAGCTTCCTGTTGTCAATCTAGGGAATTCCAGAATTAATATAACAGTGTGCCACAGAGGGATCCTGCTAGCCATCAAATTTGTCTGTCTGTCTGTCTCTATCACATACTCACACACTGGCATGTTAAATTATTTTTGTTGTGAGAAAACGAAGGGTACCCAATAAATATACAATTAGCTGACATATTCCTGAGAACCCTGAGAACCTGTGGAAACGTTAACTGGGAACTAAGAACCAAGTTCAGAGTCTAAAGCTAAGAATTTTGACTTACTTTCTGATACTTACAGAATTATTCAGATTCAGCAGAGCAGCTCCCAAGATACCTCTGCCTCACGATCGGAGATTTAGATAGTCTCTGATTCTGCCTTCTATGCTCCTCACTCTTCCTGAAGGACAACTTCTGTCATTTGTACATTTTTATGTGGCGTGATACTGAGAGATAAGGGCCCCAATACATTATGCGAAGAGTCATTTCATATTGAGTTTCCACTAAATGCCAAGGGCAGTCCCCAGGTGGTACCCACGGCTACTAATGGAAAGTTTGGCAGTTCAGATTTACCCAGAAATGCCTTTGAAGAAAGGTCTGGTGATCTGCTTCTGAAAGGTCACAGCCATTGACAACCCTTCAGAGCAGAGCTCTATTCTAACATACACGGTTAGCCATGGGTCAAAAGGGACTCTGTAGCTACTATTTTTGTTTTGCTTTATAATATACCAAGGGATAATCTAGGCATCTGTCATGTATGCTCTCGTCTGTTCCTCAAAAATATCCTCTGAGATAGAAATTGTCACCAGCAAATTTAGAAAGATTGTGCAAATGACTTCATGTGACACAAGTACTTAGTGGAAGAAAACAGAGTCCCATTCAGGCCTGGTGACGCTAAAGCCCATGCTGGTTGCAACACCCTAACCTGACTCCCTCTGAGGAGCAGGATAAACCACAAGGTTAAGACCACCCTGTTTTTGCCTTCAGCGTTCTTCTGGGAGAAGAACTCTACGAGAGAAATTTAGGGCAGATCTTCTGAGAAATGACATGTGATTTTCACTGACTCTTGTGCATCATCTGCCTTCTCACGGCCACTGCTGGAGATACTCCCGTCCCCACTTTTCTCCTTGATTTTAGATGCTTTGTGTGTTTGATTCAGGACATTTTACAGTTTCCAACAGTACAACCCAGATTTCCTTTGGAAAGGTCAAGGCCACATCCATGGTTCACTCTCCAACCCCCGCTTCATGTGCGTTCCAAGTGGCTGCGGTGTACAGAATGCTTGCCGAGTCTTACAAATCCGCATGCACATTGTAACACAACATACAAACCCAGGATGTATAAAATTGTGAGTTTTAAACCCACGTGACTGTTTTCATTTGCCTGTAGGATAGTGTAGAAATTAATTTCTAGGCTCCAGAGACTGACTCTCTTGTCCTGTACCTAACCTCCTTTCCACCCCACCCCAAATTTAAACAACTGAGCATCAAACAATTTCCAGTTCACATCACATACCGTCTCCCTTTAAACCTTTGCCTATACTGTCACTCTGCTCAGAACATGTGGTCTCCTTGCCTGAAAGTCCTCCCCTCACCCACGTGCATGGAGTTCATCCCTACTCCTTAGCCATTTCTTCTAGGTGGACTTCCCTGATCCCCTGACCTAAACTAGCATCCCATACTGGCCTCCTCCCCACACTCCTGCCCCTGCCTGTATATGTGGTGACATTCTGGACTCTTCCCCACGCTCCTGCCCCTGACTGTGTATGTGGTGATATACTGGCCTCCTCCCCACACTCCTGCCCCTGACTGTATATGTGGTGATATACTGGCCTCCTCCCCACGCTTCTGCCCCTGACTGTATATGTGGTGACATTCTGGCCTCTTCCTCACGCTCCTGCCCCTGACTGTGTATGTGGTGATATACTGGCTGCCTCCCCACACTCCTTCCCCTGCCTGTGTATGTGGTGACATGATCTCTGTAGGGCAGAACCACAGGTACATGTTCAGCTCTTGCTCAGTGTCTGACATACAATGGGCCCTCCATTATTATTTGTTGCTTTCATAAATAAAAATGAGATTGGGGAATCATCAGCATTTAGACTTTCTCATGGGAAATTTAGCATAGTGGTTACGAGATGGGCTGTTGTTAACCTCAAGGCCAGCAGTTCGAAACTGCCAGCTGTTCTGAGGGAGAAAAAATGAGGCTTTCTGCTTCCATAAAGATTTA